GCGGGGTTTAGCCACACTATTACATCATAAAGTGGCACATTCCACAACCTGTCATTTTGGCAGATTGGCTTCAACATAAGCTGTTTTTAGACTAATGAGTTTTGAGTTCTGAAACTTACAGGATGTTTTTACAGTGCAATGACCTCTTATATGTCAAAAGATCAAGGGAATTTTGATTTCTCAGCTCATGACCCATTTAATGTTTCCTCACTCAGGTCTCTAAGAAGCTGAATGACATTTATGGACTAAATAAACTTTAGAGATAATTTGTTGCCAACATTCACATAAACGATGACACTGGAGATATTCTGCCATTGTTATTGTGATACTGAAGGAATAACTCAACATGCAAATTTTAATGAATTGATGTGATTAGGACCTCTCTCGCTGGCATCATCCACCAGCAGAATCTCGAGCAGCAGGTGTCTGGGCGAGCGGTTTATGGCGCTGTGTATGGTTCTTAGAAGTGTGCTCCAGGCTTCATTATGAAACACGATCACAATGCTGGTATTTGGAAGGTCATCAGGGTACGTCTTGGTTTTACAGCTGAGGAACACACAAGAACAAGGTTAATATGATAAAAAGTGTAAAAACCAACCATTTTTTGACATAGTCAAGTAAATTGTGTTTGCATAAACAAAATTTCATCAGCTGTGCAGATAAACCTGATTTTAATGTTTATTATATTGTAATATCTTAATGACATATAGACACATTTAGCAGATTACAGCTGGGCAATAATATAGATTACATTTTGCATCAACATGAACAATCAAGCCTGATATATAGGATATATAGTTTATATTGTTTTAAAGTGGATGTAGATATATGTATATATATATACAACTTCACTGGGCAAACTGGGCAATAACATTTACATTCTGAAATGACATTAATAATCAAGTAATTTGCTATATGGTATATATGGTGTCACGCCCCTGGACTCTATCTGTGTGTTTTTCCTACCCTACGTGCTCCATGACCCAGTTTTCTCCCATGTTAATTGTTTCATTAGTTCCAGGTGTTTCTCGTCATCCCCTCCTCTAGTCCTGTGTATTTAAAGTGAGTCCTATTCAGAGTTCCTTTGTCTGGTATTGAATTTTCGTCTTTCCCCGCTACGTGTGTGTTCCTGGTTCCATGAATGTTAATTAAAGTCTGTTGGTTTGAAGTCTACTCCTCGTCTCCTCGCTCCATGCTCCTCACAGTCACAACGTGACAGAATACCAGACTGTTCCCTCCATTTTTGTTTCTGTTTTTACTCAGTGTTTTGTTTCCGTTGTGTCCATGGATCCCCTCCTTCGCCCTGAATACCTCCTCCTCCTGCTGGAGCAGGGGGAAAAATCGCTCGAGGGCCACACCAGACTGTTCCTGGTCCTCGCCAACCTCTCCAGCTACCCGGACGACGCGCTCTGTGACGGCGTTCTATGATGCCAATCTAAACCCGGCATACAGAGTGAATTTCACCGCCTTTGTGGAGTGGACATGGATCCCTGTTCACCATCTGTCCCGAGGAGGATCTCGCCAGTGCCACTCCGGACCCAGTGCCCAGCCCACCATCTCCCCGCTACGTGGAGCGCATGCCCAAGCCCACTGCACCGCGGCTGAGGTTGAGCTGATTTAGCCCAGAGAGGGCTCCAGTCCCCGAGTTTAGCCCAGAGAGGGTTCCAGTCCCCGAGTTTAGCCCAGAGAGGGCTCCAGTCCCCGAATCTAACCCAGAGAAAGTTCCTGTTCCCATGTCTAGCCCAGAGAAGGCTCCTGTTCCCACGTCCAGCCCAAGGAGGGCTTCCGTTCATGAGTTCAGCCCTGAAAGCCCAGATGCTCACAAATGCCCAAAATTAAATGTGCCCATGTTAATTAAAGTCTGTTGGTTTGAAGTCTACACCTCGGTTCTTCGTTCCTCGCTCCATGCTCCTCACAGTAGCGCAACGTGACATATGGCTTATCATGATTGCGGGTGACTGAAAACATCATTATGGCCTCATTTTGTGCATAGTTTTCAAGGCATATTTGTTCCAGTTTGCAAAGACCATGAGTACAACATTGAATAATTGTTAATCTCTGATACTGATACTACACTGATTTATGTCCATTACTTTTAAATATTGATTCAACCATACAAGCATAAAATCAACTCTTCAGCAATTACATTTTTCTTGATTAAAGCTTGAAGCAGACAGTATATTTTAAAAATACAATTACTTGATATACACAAACAAGAAGACAATGTGAGGATACATACCAGCTTCTGTCAATTTCCATAGGGGGCTCTACAATAATTCCACAACCATGTGATCCATTAAGCTGAAAATTGATATGCATCTCCTTTAGTGGATGTCCTAACATATCCTCTAATAGGACTCCGCTACATAAAAAAAAGGCCACCAGCAGCCAATCACATTTTAGTGCCTAAAAGCAGACAATCTGAATGACTGCTACAATAATGGACACATTTGTACATTGTTTGAAAATTAGTATGTGTACCCATTTTTGTGAAAATATTTATTGTGAGCTGATTTTTATTTTATCAGTAGCTAGCAGTTGAGTGTCACCAAGGGATCCTAAATAAAGCATGAAGCTCCATTGGAGCTGGAAAAAACAGAGCGAGTGGCAGAGGGAATGAAAACGGCAGAGGAAAATGAGCAGTAGAGGAACAAGGTTTATAGTTCTGCTTCTCTTTGTGTGCACAGACAGGATGGGGGCAAAAGGGCACAAACTGGAGGCAGATTACAGATGACGGCATGCAGCATCTATCTATGAATATCACCCAACTGCGAGCCACAGGAGATTTCTGCAGTAAGCGCCGAGTGAATGAGACAAACAATAGTGCTGATGGGTTATTTTACAGCAATATTACACCAATGCTGTTACTCTGGGAGACAAATTTATTTAATCTCACCCCAAGTTGTTTTCCTACATATATGTATGTATGTATGTATGCATTTATTTATTTATTTATTTATTTATTTATTTATGTATTTATTTAGTTATTTATTTAATCTAAAATACTCATTATTAGTGTTTGCTAAGGGGAAACATCTCTGTTACTATTGCTCATAGCTGTGATTAGTGATTTGAACAAACCCAAAACTACAAAGTATTAAACTTAAGCATGTAACTGTGATATGGACATAAATTATTCCCCAAATCATGCAGCTTCTTGGCTACGTTTGTAACTGACATTTTGTTTTTACAATTTTATCGTTCAACATTAATTTTGCCTGGTGGATGATAAAATGGCAAATATATTCAATAGACTTCAGTTTAAGGAGCCATATGTTAAGACCAGAATATCTAGATTTGGAGATGGGCTTTTTACCACCTACCAACCATCTCAACACATAATGAACATAATCAATCAACACATAATAACAAACTTAAAACCACTCAGAATATCATAGCAAACTTATTTCAACACCCTAGGTATAACCTAGAATTGTGGGGTTGAGTTTAGTTTCCTGAAGCATTTAAATGTCATACAAACTAAACATTTCCTCAAGTCTTTAAAATTGCCTAAAAGCATTAAGCATTAAAACAAATGTATGGAATGATATTACGAACAATATTCAAAAGGAAATGCAAATTGTATTTGCAACTGCAATTGCGTGACATAATCCAAACGCAATTGCAAATTGTGCATTTGTGTTTCTATTTTCTTTTTACGTGTATGTACCATGTCTGCCAAATTTTAAATGGAAACACAAAGTCCAATTTTGCACTTGTATTTCCAATGTCTCATGTGTTATGACCCTGTCATTTTAAAACAGCAATAGAAAACCATCCATTTGCTGTTTCACTTCCTCCGCGTCCTGAACTTTTGCCTGTTTGGTGATTATATCAACAGTGTTGAACTGCCGCAACGCTTGCAGTGTGCAATACCTTCGAGTTGTCCTAGACGCGGCATGGCACTGCATTCCCTATCTGTCGGTCACTATGAGTTATGTCGTGACGACATTAACTTGGGAGCCCAATCATCTCTGAGTTTAAGAGAAAATGCCAATGAGAATTGGCTAGTGGATTTTGCATGCTGAGCCACTTCCCGTGCACACGGGTATATAAGGCGACAGCGTGCATCCACTCATTAGGTTTTACGCTGAGGAGCCGAGAACGTTTCCCGGCAACAGCGAATGGTTCAAGGTTGTGGCATGGGGACATAACGTCTCAGTTCCCTCCATCAGGGAACGAGGGTTTTGTACATAACCGAGACGTTTCTTGTCCTGTGTGCGACCGAAAATTATGTCTGATAATTTATTACGTCAAAAAGATACAAATATAGTTTATGAATAAATTTTTAAAAATGTTGTATAAAATGCTGAAATGAATCAGAATTCAGAGCATACTCCTACGAACTGAACATGAGCTGCGATTGAATGTCACTACCAATGTCATTTTCTTTCTTTCTTTTTTGTTTTTTTTGCTCGCTTGGATTGCTCACAGAGTCACATGGACAACACACAACTCGCATCATGTCAAGTTTCTACAGATTCTCTGATTTTAATTCATCAAGTTCACTGTGTGATGATGATATTCATTTGATACAATATTTCCCAAGCACCCCAGTATATGACTCTTTAACACTCTGCATCCACTATATGACCCATTGCCGACTGCAGTCATGGCAGTTTTCTTTTTGCTTCTTTTCTTTCTTTTTTTATTTTTATTTTATTTTGTATGTATTTATTTATTTTTGGAAAAATAATAATAATAATAATAAAATAAATATGGATGTTTTTTTATTGCAAAAATTGCCAAATTCCCCATTTTCCTCAAAGGAATGAATTAACGATGCTTTGTTTTCCACCAGTAGGGGGGCGTGGCATACTCTCTGACTATATCAATAAACCCCACCCTCTAGACTGATTGACAGTTGACTGTCAAAGGACAAAAGCACTTGTGATTCCATTTGAATTTTGTAAGGGTTGGAGCAGGACACAGAAAACTGAATAGCAAATGTGTTATTTTTTTGATTGCTATTCCAAAATGACAAAATCTTAGCTAGTAAGACATTGGAAAAGCACTTGCATATGGACTTTGCGTTTCCATTTAAAATTTGGCAAACATGTTACAGAAATGCCAGATCTTTGGTAAAATGTAGAGTAAATGTTCGTTTTAAGAGAATCATATATCAGTGAATGCAAGGAGGGAAGGAGCGTATGTGGGTGATGGCCTTCAGTGTGCTGAAGGGTGGCATAACTCAAACACACCAGATGAATGTGGCATGTTTTGCTCTAACAGCTCTCTGGGATTTCATTATGTAACTCGAATGGCTCTTTGGATTCTATAAACAAAGACCTTATTCACTGCACCGAGACAGACAGAGGGATGAAAACTGGAGCTTTTACATAATAATAATAATAATAATAATAATAATAATAATAATTAGCAGTAACTAAAGGGTATGTTTTAATCTTTACTACCTATTCATGTGAAAAGTTTTAAAAAATTAAAATGTAAAAAATTCTAAAAAAAACAAAACAAAAAATGTGTAAAATACATTTTTCGCTCAACTAAGAATAGCACTCAACTAACACAGCTAACTAATTGTCAGTTCATAGTCTTGCCCATTTCTCCAAGAGAAATTGCTAGCTTTCCAATGTGTCTGTACAAAATTCAAATGCATCCATGAGAGTCAGAAAATACAAACATCTCTCTCTCTCTCTCTGAAACTGCTGAAGTGTGTGATCTTCAACCTTCTTTAGCCTGCTGATTTTATTGTGAATAAGACGCTTTCTAGAAGGAATAGCGGCTTGTAAAACAATAACTCACATTTAACATAACATCTATGGAGTTGAAAATGATAGTCATACGGCCCCAATATACTTCAAGCAAACGTATGATCAAGTGAGACATCATTTCGAACAAAATCTGGCTATAGCAAAGTTCGCTTGGAGTTATTTTCAGTGGTTTGAAAACAACTGGCAAGCGCAAACTTTTACAAAAAATGTTGTGCTGGCTGTTAAACACTTTCACCCAAAGTATGTAAAATAAAGTCTCAGATCCATCGGGTTCATGAGAGGAAAAATTCACTTGAAAAATTACATTTATACAGAAAATGTGTCATTGTAAAATCTATAAGTCCTTGAGGCAAATTTATTTCCCATGAGGGCAGGGATTCTCATGTGAAAATCTAGGTTTCCAATTAAAACGGCACATTTGACCATTAATTTCTGGGTAACCACACATACTATCCATACCATAAATACATTAAATGCAACTATCCACAGAAACTTCATGTACCATGCATGAGGATATCAGATTATTGCTTATTATAAATTACAAAAAGAAACAAACGAAAAAAAATCTATTTGTGTTTGTGTTTCTTGTCATTGTCTTCCTAATAAATGCTGATTTGTGTTGAGATTGCCGTGGCAGCTGATTGGATGCTGTGATTAATTAATATCTCTGTCTGTAGAGAAACACACACACTCACCCGTCCAGCCGGACATCTGGCAGACTCCTGTTAAGCGCAATCATGTCACTGGCCATAAGGTTGAACTGATTGATTTTAAAGAGCTCTTTCATCTTCTCCTGCTCTTCTTTGGGAATGATCACAGCCTTCCCCATTTCACCTGGTGCCACCTGGGTGCGGGACATCACCGCTGGAACACAGAAAGCAGGGTGACATATATTTACTCCACACATTTTCGCTTAAATCGGTTTGTTAGAAAAGTGTCAGGCATGACATCTAAAAAGGTGCAATTGGTCATGCCTAAATTACCATGCCAATAATTGTTATGATAATAGGTTGATCTAACTTGTTTAGTTTCATCTTCATATTAAATCAAAATGTATTGCCTGCCTTAATTCACAATCTTGACCTTATTTTTTTTTACTTGGAAGTTAATATTTGCAATTTACTTCACTATAAAATTGGCTGCAAAAATGTTTCATATTGACTGAAGAGGCTACAAATTGTGAATATATAAGTGAATATATAAATGAACATAAATAATATTAATTAAAATGAATAATGATATAACAAATTGAAATGAAGAAGCTCAGAAAAGCACAACCACACACTGCCCGTTTGACTGATATACCTGTATGGTGTGGTTTGAATTGAACACAAAGCAGATTTTCAGTGGCTCCACTGCAGCTACAACCCGTCTAAACTGACAGCAGCGTTCTGAACCATTGATCCATGTTATAGGATCTGTCAACACAGACACCTTCTGTCCTTGAAATTTGACTTAACACTGTTATCAAACAGAGACTACAAAGACAGCATAGCAAATCAACATGAACACTTTCGGGCAAAAACACACATTTTTCGATCATGAGTTGCGTTACTCCTCATCAGTAACAGTAACATTAATAGTAATCCTCATCTGAAATCATTTATATATGCCTTATAAGCCTTATATATGTAATAACAGTCCAAACATATAAAAAATGCATACTGTATGGGTTTGTGTTCTATTATATGTGACCCTGGAGCACAAAACCAGTCTTAAGTCGCTGGGGTATATTTGTAGCAATAGCCAAAAAAACATTGTATGGGTCAAAATTATAGATTTTTATTTTATGCCAAAAATCATTAGGATATTAAGTAAAGATCACAAATATTGTCCTATCCTAACAAACCATACATCAATGGAAAGCGTATTTATTCAGCTTTCAGATGATGTATAAATATCAATTTCGAAAAATTGACCCTTATGACTGGATTTGTGGTCCAGGGTCACATATTTGATACATCAGGCTTTTCTGACTCATATACAGTAGTGTGATATAGGTGAATATAGAGCTCAATTCATATAAACTATCAATCAGGTGACAGCGGGCATGTAGTAGATTTTTCAGCAACATTTTGATCATGTTGATCGTTTAGAGGCCTTGGAAATTTATATATCGACTATGATACAGTAGGCTTTATTGGGTTAAGCCCACATTTGCCCTGTGGTACTGAAGATGCTCTTCTAAAACACTAAAGTAGCACATGTCTGCAAGGACTGGAAAATTTGTGAATCATCTCAAGGACTATCACCCTTCTACAGACCGCCCTGCATCTGATTACTAAGAAATTAACATTTATACAAGTAAACATAAGAACAAATTAATAATTTAAACCTTTTTTTTAAGAAGAAGAAGAAGAAGAAGAAAATCTATGCTAGGATGGGATATATGCAAGGACAGTTTTAGGCACAATTACCCCTCTTTATGCAGACTGACAGAGAACTGCACATGATGCAAAACACACCAACATATGAGGGAGTGCTGTGACTGCAGTATGACAAAGAGCAACTCATCAAGGTCTCTGACAATAACGGCAAGAACGAAATTCTGCAGCACTGCTTCTTAACGTCTCTCTTCAACCTTCACAGTATTTCAAAGCAGAACACCGGGGGATTTGATATACCCTCATACACTGCTGTCTTACTTAGCTGCTTAATCCAAAAATAGCAACCATTTGGGCACAAGGACAGCCCATAATATCATGTCATTGAAATAAATCTGGAAGCAAAATCTAACAAAACAAAATCTGCCAACTCACTCAATCGGGGCAAAAAGTCTTGGCAAAAATCATGTAACGTATTCCAGCCTTTTGGATGCTGCCTTGGAAATGAGATGCAGATGTAAGCATCTCATTACGTTTTGGAATGGAGCCTATCTGACCTTTTTAAAGAGATTCCCTGCAGTTATTCATAAAGATGTATAAAAGAGCATTAAATAATTGATGTCCACTAAGCACCATTTCTTTTGTTTTATTAGAATGTAAAGCTGTGTTGCATCATCAGTTTAAATGGAGTCTGGGAAGAGAGTGATATATACTTAATGATATGGCAATTAGGACGGAGAAGCAACAAATCTCCACTGCATTTCTGCATTGATCCCAGTACGGTATTTATTTAGCAATAAGATCATATTTTGAACCAGCCTCTGTGCTCTCTTTAAGGTGGCTGTTTAAGTGATACATCTACTACAGCCATTCAAAGAGAGAACAACAAAACAACTGACTAAGAAATTAACATTTATACAAGTAAACATAAGAACAAATTAATAATTTAAACCTTTTTTTTTTTAAGAAGAAGAAGAAAATCTATGCTAGGATGGGATCTATGCAAGGACAGTTTTAGGCACAATTACCCCTCTTTATGCAGACTGACAGAGAACTGCACATGATGCAAAACACACCAACATATGAGGGAGTGCTGTGACTGCAGTATGACAAAGAGCAACTCATCAAGGTCTCTGACAATAACGGCAAGAACGAAATTCTGCAGCACTGCTTCTTAACGTCTCTCTTCAACCTTCACAGTATTTCAAAGCAGAACACCGGGGGATTTGATATACCCTCATACACTGCTGTCTTACTTAGCTGCTTAATCCAAAAATAGCAACCATTTGGGCACAAGGACAGCCCATAATATCATGTCATTGAAATAAATCTGGAAGCAAAATCTAACAAAACAAAATCTGCCAACTCACTCAATCGGGGCAAAAAGTCTTGGCAAAAATCATGTAACGTATTCCAGCCTTTTGGATGCTGCCTTGGAAATGAGATGCAGATGTAAGCATCTCATTACGTTTTGGAATGGAGCCTATCTGACCTTTTTAAAGAGATTCCCTGCAGTTATTCATAAAGATGTATAAAAGAGCATTAAATAATTGATGTCCACTAAGCACCATTTCTTTTGTTTTATTAGAATGTAAAGCTGTGTTGCATCATCAGTTTAAATGGAGTCTGGGAAGAGAGTGATATATACTTAATGATATGGCAATTAGGACGGAGAAGCAACAAATCTCCACTGCATTTCTGCATTGATCCCAGTACGGTATTTATTTAGCAATAAGATCATATTTTGAACCAGCCTCTGTGCTCTCTTTAAGGTGGCTGTTTAAGTGATACATCTACTACAGCCATTCAAAGAGAGAACAACAAAACAACTGGCTGCATAGTAAAGCCAAAAATAAACCAAAGGCCATGAACGGACTAAAAGCAAAATTATCTTCCCTGGATAGGATATTTGAAGATCTGTCTCCAGGAGATGGAATTCTGCAGATGTAAGAACATGCCAAAGTAGACTACAGTAGACTGAATCTATTTTTGCTACACAAAGCAAAACTTTGCCAGATTCACGTTCATCTATTTTTGATAAAAGTAAAAACACTTTCATCTCCACTCACTGGATGTTATACTTTGAAAGTGTCGCACAATGCGCAAGAAGCACCGAAATATGTTTTTGCAAAAATTCATCTCCACTCACTGGATGTTATACTTTGAAAGTGTCGCACAATGCGCAAGACCGAAATATGTTTTTGCAAAAAATATGCCACAGGCACCCTTTCCCAGTGAGCTTGGGTTGCTGTTTTGTCTTGGGCCAGTAAGTAAACAACCACCTAGAACATCCAAACAACAAGCTAAAACCACTCAAGACACCTTAGCAACCTTATATTAATAGGGATGTTAGGGACATGTCTCTACCAATATCCAGTGACTACTGACTTGTCCCTAGTAATAATTTTAAACAAACAATTCAAATTTAGGTCACACTTTAGTTTGGGGGACCAGTTTTCACTATTAACTAACTATTAACTACAACTTTTGCCTCAATAAACTCTTAATTTGCTGCATATTAATAGTTAGTAAGTTAGTTGTAAAGTAGTTTACGTGTGGGGTCGGATTAAAGGTCTAAAATATTGTCATGCAGAATAAGCCATTAATATGCTGATGAAATGGGCATGACGTCTGAGGCTGAGATTAATAAGTGACTAGTTAATAGTTAGAACTGGTCCCTAAACTAAAGTGTTACCAAAATTATTATGTAACCACTGTGGTTGGAATTTTGGCGGCGTCTGAAATGGGTCATACCACTGATGCTACCTGAGAAGTTAAAGGGGTGGTTGATTGCGATTTCACTTTTTAACATTAGTTAGTGTGCAATGTTGCTGTTTGAGCATAAACAATATCTGCAAAGTTACGAAGCTGAAAGTTCAATGCAAACGGAGATATCTTCTTTTAAAATTCTGGCAGTTTAATGCCTACAAAAACGGCTGGTAGGGACTACAACAAGTTACTTCCCGGGTTCATGACATCACAAACCCAGATGAACCCCGCCCTCGGGAAAAGGGTTTTTTAAAAGACTGCATTTAATGCATGGACAGAGTAAGAAGTTAGACTGCACCCCATAAACACAATCAATCCTAGAAAAAAAAACAGTGAACCACCCCTTTAAAGTAAATACACTACAAAACAGCAGTCTTTAAAAGACTGCATTTAATGCATGGACAGAGTAAGAACATGTGTTTAAACATATGTTGACGGTTCAGTTGCATGATAGTTTACACACATTAACTTCAACTTAATGTTGTTAAACTAAAAAAAAAAGTGACGTGTGGCCAAGTATGGTTACCCATACTAGGAATTAGTGCTCTGCATTTAACCCATCCTTAGTGCACACACACAGCAGTGAACACACACACACACA